CGCGTCGCAGCGTTCCGCGTCACGGTGGCGGGTAGATTCTCCCCTCTCGCTCTGCTCGCTGGTTCGCTCGGTTCGCTCGGTTCGCTCGGATCGCTCGGTTCGCCTCGAGCCGAGGAGAGACCTACGCCGCGATCGACATCGGCTGAGGCCGTGGAACAGTCCTCGTGCGACGCGCGACCGAGCTTGCCTCGACCCGGTCACCACAGTCCTCTCCTCCTCCACCTCTTGTTCCTCCTCCTCCTCCGCCACCTCCTCCTTCTCTTCTTCTTCCACCTCTTCCTCTACTCTTCGTCTTCTTCTCTTCTTACTTCCCTCTCCAGCGGCCTGACTCTTCTTTCCTTCCTCCACCTCCCTTCCTCGCTCTTTTGCGGCTTCTCCCTCTGTCCTTCCTTCTTGCGCCCTGCCGCCACTGGTATCTTCTGGTCCCGCAGTTGGCGGAGGCAGGCTGGAGAGTTCGATTCTCTGGTCGCGACTGGAGAGAGCAGCGGGGGAGGCAGGACGAAGAGCGCGCCTGTATGCGGATAGCGCGGGATCTCGCGGAACCGAGAGAAGTCTCTCTCTCCCGATCCCTTCGGCGGAGGAATTCTAGCTGGCGTGGCTCGGCGGCCGCCTCCACCTTCCTTCCCTCCACCCGAGTTCATTCAGAGCCCTCCCTGGATGGGATGGTCCACACACCACGTCTACTCGGTACCGGGTTCCCCGCGATATTTTGTGACTGCCTGTCCGTGCGGTGCTCGTGTTAGCCTGTGCTCCTCGGCTCCCTAGACCCGTCGCGGAATAGGGAGGTCGACATGACCCGGTTGGGATTGCGGTGAGTTCCAATTTATTTTGCTATTATACGTTTTCTTCCGACTTTCCTCTATCTCATACCATTATCAACATCGTTGTCTTCTTCTTCTTCTTCTTCTTCTTCTTCTTCTTCTTCTTCTTTTTCTTACTTCTTTCTTTTATTCCCGTTCCTCTTCTTGGTGGAGTTTGTCGGTTCGTCAACCTGTTGTTACGTCAATGATCGCTATATTGTGCGAAAACACGTGCATTCTGTGAGCAGTGTGCAACGCTAGCTGAAAGTGCTTTCTTTCCGTCGGTGACACGGAAGTATTCTTCCTCGATAATCCCCGACTGGGATATGTCTCGCGTCATTGAATAGTCGTTTTCTTCTTGTTCCGCCAGTGTCTTCTTTTTACTGTTCGTCCCGCCTAACCCTTTTGTGCCTCGTCTCTCATTTCTTCTCGCACTGTTTCGTCGGTCTTTTATTTCGCTCCCTGGACTTCGGTCTCCGTGCGTGGTCGCTCTCGGTGCACGCGCCACAAGTGTTTCCATGACAGACGGAGGGGGCACTTTCAACCCCTGCTACGGCCCGACGAAATGACGAGTGGATCTCAGGGACAACGACGCGTGTGTTTACGGTCGATTATCCTTCGGAAGAGAAACATTTATGGCGTGGACACTTAATTTTTCTTTTTCCTTTTTTCTTTTCCCTTGTTTCTTTTTTTCTTTTTCCTTGTCCCTTGTCCCTTTTTCCTTTTTCTTTTTCTTTTTCTTCTTTTGATTGCCTCATGATTTCGATGTTGTTCGCTCGATAAACACTTATCGCGGCCGGTTACGCATGTGGATAACCGAACACGAAGAATTATGAAATTCTCACGAGATTTTGTGCTCTATTTATAGAATGAGATTCTGGAGGAAAAAGGGACAGAAATTTTCATATCTCTCGTTTCAATTGCTCCATTCTCTCTGTGAACTACTTGTTCCGGTTTAGAACGTTTAGTCACTTCTTTTTTAGTTTGTTTTATAAAGTGTCTCAGAGAAAGAATGAAAAAATTGTTGTAGATACGGTGATACGGATTAAAATAAATGTTTTTCGAGTCAGCCTGACAATGTTGAACATTTCAACGGGAACGATGGTCAGCCCTGTATCAATAGATAACGCCAAACAGCATTTCTTTCATCGACTAATCAACTGACTCTTCGATTTTCCTATAATTTAAGCAAATGTGATAGGATTTAATAATTTAACTCTTTCCTCCATTTCAATTGATCTTACATCTGATTTAGAAGAAAAATTCGAAGTTAATTGTTGCGCATCCTACAACTCAGCTCGTAATACTCTCATTTCTAATGAAGACTCTTTATTTCGTAAAAACTTACTTTATTTTTTATGGAGTTTATTTTTAGGCGGTTTTCCGTGTTTCTCTTTACAGATACATCGCATCCGTAGTGTTCCTGGCCGGGATTGTCAGCGGGGTATGTAAAATTGATTTATTATACATATAATTTAGTCGCTTTGAGGGTATGACACAAGTGTCACTGAACAAATTAACTGTTCAATCTGCGTAAGAAAGTATATAAATTTAAAATATTCAGTAGTACGTTCTTGCATAGTAGGGCTTTAATGGTAAAATTAGTATATTTAACAAAATATTTTAAGAAACAATCTTACAAATACTGTATATCATTACCTGTTAGAAAAACTCCGTCAAAGAAAGCGTGACAAAAATACTACTAAGAACCAGTGATCTTTTTACTTTACATTGATCTCATTTAAATGAATTATAACTAATAATTATTTTACTATCAAATTAATTGCAACTTCCTTGATTTCACAAATGACGTAGTACACTTGCGCAACGTCACAACACTTCATCCGACAAATACATTCTGTTAACTCTAATTATCAGTAAATACTGAACACTAAAAGTTATCAAGAATAAAAGTTCATAGCAAATAATACCCGAATAAGTTAATAAAAGTATATTAAATAATTTCTTATATTTTTAATAGACTGAATATATTATTACAATTTCATATCGCTAAAATAAGTTTAAAAGACTAAAAAAACACGAGCAACAATAAAAAGGAAATTTTATTGAAATTTCTCTTTCATTAAAATGTTCGTAGTCGCAGCCGTAATAATTGCATACAACTCGCAGACCGATCATATCGGTGTTCTTATCGGGCTCCGTTCATGCAATCAACTCGTTAAAGACACGTGCGATTTAATACTTTGATCGCCATGTCACTTGAATTCAGATGGTCCAGAGTTTGGCATGGATTTGAAAATGGCAATTTTAAATGAAAAATTAGAGCTGAATTTCGTTGGATCCATGAAACGTAAGAAGATCAGCCTCCCATCAGAAGGGAGCCTCATGAAAAGTTTTGACTTTTCAGCTTCAGTTTCATTCAGAAAATTGTTTCGACTGTTGGTAACTGCTAACTCGCTGGCGAACGTATTAACGCGTTCGATTCGATCCCACGCTTCTCGCGAACGATACGCGGTTCATTCATGGATTCACGCGTTCGCGAGCGCGTGCACGTGCACGGGACGATTGCGTTGCACCGGGTACTAACCAAGAACTTGGCTGAATCGAGAGGATCGCGTTTCGATCGCGTCGGGCCGTGTGATTCCGCGGCGCGTGCGGCTCGACCTTCCCCTTTCGCGTTGCGCGAACACGCTCGAAGAGTCGACGAAACAGCGAGGGCGAGGAAGCTCCGTCGAAGGCCGGCGAACCGCTGAACGGCGCGGCGCGACGCGGAGCGGCGTAACGCGCGCGGCTCGCGAGACTGTCGATCGTCCGCCCGATTAGATCATCTGGAACGTTGTTATTTCTGCGTTTTGTCGAGATAATCGTCTGAGAGGCGCGTGGGTCTTTAAGCGATTTTCACGATCTACGGAGGAATCGGTCTACGATCATGATGCTGTTTGAAAATTACGAATCAATTTATTGGATGTTACACTTACTCCTTAAATTATCCATTCATCTACGTGTATCATATATTTTACTACATTAACACATTATCTTTCTGGTATTTTGTACACTGGCATCGGCCAGAGGTCCAGAATTTTGTATACAATTTGTGTAATCGTTATGCTGTATATACAAGCAACATAACTTTCATGTGAGGGTTTGTAATTCACGTATTTTTTCCATAAGATTGTCCCTTTCTGGCGAAAATTTGATTTCAATTTGTTCATTTATATTTAAAGAAGTAAAAATCTATTGAAAATTTTCGTCATTTTACTAGTAAGAGAAGTAATGTTTTTTCGATAAACTGTGCACTATATTTTCTTATTGAATACACATTAATTTTGGGTAACGGATCAAGGTTTATAATAATATAAACTGTGCTTGATGATTTTGTGAGCGACATTTTTGTACACAGCAGTATTTTTATTTGAATTTTATACACAGTGGATATTTGATGTAGAATAAATTTTTTTGGGTTACACCAAAGGGAAAAAATATAAGCAGTACAGTAATCATTTTTTGTATTCACATAGCTCTTTTGCCCTGAATAACATGTACTTGAAACATATGTTCCTGTTCTACATAACTAAAGCTTCAAATAAATTTCAGAATCAGAATTTTGAGTCCGTTTATTAACATTTTTTTTAACTATTTACTTGACATTATGAAGACGATTTCTGAAGTTTTCCATTAAACGTAAAAAGGAAAATATGATTTCGGTTAGAGTGCTCTAACACATATTTTTATTATGTAATACGCGTATGATATTAGAGAGTAAATACGATGATAAATAGATTGGACGTTGAGTTCTGTTTTGCGGTTACTTAATTTAACCCCGTTAATTTTTATTTGAAAATAAGTATTTGTACCATCCATTTACCATTTTATGTTATTAAATTCTGAAAATAATATTTGTAGAAGACTTAATATGTGTTTGGAAGTGCAAAAATATGATTTTAAAGATTAAATGAAATGATTCTCAACCTAGAAAATATTTCTTTACAATTTTTCTGAGACCCAAAAGTTTCTCTCACGGAAGTATTTTTTATCAAAATATGATTTTAAAGATTAAATGAAATGATTCTCAACCTAGAAAATATTTCTTTACAATTTTTCTGAGACCCAAAAGTTTCTCTCACGGAAGTATTTTTTATCAAAATGCACAACAAATGACTGCTTCAGGAGAATATTATTCAGTTGGATTACAGATAACTCGTAATTTCAGCGAAAGCAAGTGGTAACACTATTTGTGTTAATAAACACATTATATCTCTAATTATACTTTTCGTATATGAAATGGATAAATTAAGCGATCGATGTTTATTGGAGCTGAATGTTGCAATTAATAAAAAATAATAGAACATAAATGATACAATCAGATTCTTAGGTAAACATATTTTTCTATTTAGATGATGAAATTGGAGAATTATAGTTACGTACATAATACTGTTAGTTATCATGCGTTCACTATTATCGTTCGTTACTACGTAATCAAATGTATAAAAAACGCTCGAGTATTCACGTTTCTTCTTAACAGTATTACATATTTTTCCTGTTGTGGCCTTACATTACAGAACAAAATTAAACACAAAATTCTATTTCTTTACTATGAAACGTATTGCAGTTTGATTTGTTTACTAAATAATTTCAAGTATTACAGTTATAATTTGTATGTATACATTAAAAACTTACCAGTTTGAAATTTTAAAATTGTCATTCTTTAGATAAATTATTTTTTACACGAAAAAAAACATTACGTTAATTGATTTATTTATGTATCATACAGGCCATGACGCTTACACATTAATATATTTTGGTAAATAGATATTAGTCTATGCAATTTAAAGTAATAAAAACATTTGTTCTAAAAGCCATTGGGCTTCACTCCTTGATATTGTAAAATTTATTCATGTTTACCAAATTTCATACACGATTCAAGTTTTACCCAAAGAAGCACTACTCTAATTGGCAATACTACTTTATAAAAATTTGTTATAGTTTCTACTGATATGTAGATCTAATTGTAAGCTGCAAATACAAGTATTCGCAACTTCGGAAGATATCATTGTTAACCTTCTGTTGAAAACCAGTTAAACTTCTTTGTCACATTCATCTTAATTATGGCAGAAATACTAAATGTAAATTCTTTTGCCTTCATTATGATTCAAGGAAATGGAGAAGATGAAGTTTTATCAGAATCCTTCCTTCAGTAAGAAAGTCTTAAATTGAAAGGGCACTGTGACTTGCAAAGTTTTCGTAAGAGAACTATCATTCATCACTTCGTAAAAATAGAGGCCATTTCTTCTGACTTGTACCTGGTACATTTAGTAATCAAATTTTCTACACAAATTATATTTCAACATTAAAATAGTCTATTTTTTGTATTAAATAATATAAATTAGATATTTGGAATCTAATAAAGTAGATCAAGTAGTAATCGCCATTATGACTACTTATACAATGTATTGTAAGTCATATAATTACATTTAATAAGATCTACATGCTTCAGAAACAACATATTTAAGTAATCGTATGTATAACCTAAATGAATATGTTCATCAAAGTTTAATAACTAGACTTCCAATTATTACTCATTGCTTATATACACAGCATATACACTGTATCTGCAGCATGATTCATAAATCAGTTATCGCGATGTTCAAATTAATTCTGATAAGACAATGTCAACGTGTTTGAAACAATACTTTCATTAATATGATTTCATTAATATGATTTTATTAATACAAATCTATTTGTATAACGAAGTTGTTCCCGAAGGAATTTCTATTATATACAAAATTAAAGCTATCTCGTATTTTTTAAGTCATGTCATGAATTTTTTCCATATTTTTACATTAGATAATATGAACATAATATTGGGTGCCATTTTAGTTGCATACATAATTAATTAATTACTTAATTTCAACTAATATATTTAATTGAAGTATATCGTTCAAGTCATCATTCGAAACAACGTATCTTTGTACATGTTGCATATTCGCAGGAAACTTTGACAATTATTTAGAAGTTCCACCATCTCACTGATTTAAAAGAACTTACAATACAGTGTCAATGATATCATTCCGAACAAATTGTTTCTGTATATGTTACAGCTGCTCGGCCTTAGTTTTCAAGATATTTGCAAAAATGTATTTAACATTACATACTATAATTCGCTAGATTAGATTAGATTAGATTAGGGTTGGTTGGTTGTAAGTTATTTCACATAATATATAGAAATTAGTTTCATTTAGATAATAGAGATTAGTATTAATGGTACTAGTTTCTGCGATGTGGTCGTGCAGGGGCAGGGGCGGAGCCCTGTTAGCTTCACCCCGAAAACACTAGCCTCACCAATGCCCATCTCTATTATCTAAATGAAATTCATGCATAAGCATACACCTATATATTGAAAGAAACATCAATAAATGACCGTGAAAGTGAAAAACTTAAGTAATTTAATATTTTAATGCTTTATAATTTTTTAACCAATATTCA